GGAGCCATGTTGTTGACGACTTCGCCGCACACTCTCTCTCTCTCTCTCTCTCGTTCTCACACACGCACACACAAACACAGACACACACACGCGCGCGCGCACGCACACACAACAGGTTTGACGCGCGGCTGTCGTAGTAGTATTGTCCTGGGTGTTGTTAGGCCTCGCGTCAAATAGCCGGTGGCGCCTGGTGAGAGTATTGCAGTGTAACCCGGCGGCTCGAGGACGTTATTGCTGTTTCCGGAGCGCCAGCAGCACCTGCGCTTTTAATTGAAAGCACTCAACGCTAAACACAAACCTCTGCCGAAGAGGGTGAACCACGGCGCGGTTAACTAGTCCCTTTTTGTCAAAAACAAATGGTGACACTGGAGGCGAGAAGCCTCCGAAACAGATTAAGGGAAATAATACCGCCGGGGGGGGAAATTACATGCTAATAAGGAATTTAGACATAGTTTTTTGCAGGTAGGGTGTAAACAAGTGTGCTTTATTTAGCCGGCTGGGATCGATGCTTCTACATGCAATTAAGTGACAGGAAGAGGGGAAAGGCAACATTTGATTGCGGCAGTTAGAAGGATTTACTAATGATATCGGCGGACATTATTTTGTCTGAAGGCGTTTAAAACTGCTGCGTGTGAAGGGGCGGGGCACTCGTATGAATAAGTGGCACAAAAGTGATTTGCTTTCTTATTATTGTATTAAGGGCTTTAAACATACACAGTGTCAAATGTCAAAAGAATCAACTTTGAAGCTCAGGTGTTTTTTCCCGTTTTTTAACTTCCCTAATTGACCCTTTTCTAAGCCCCGCCCCCCCCCACTGCTACTCTATCAAGCTGTCGGAGCTACGTTACCATGGAGACCCACTGTCACCAACATGTTTTGGGAGGATAAAAAACAAAGGGATTTCAGATGGAAGCTAACAGAAGGGTCTAGAACATGCGTTACAATAGCATGAAATAGATTACAGAGATAAACAAGCTAATGTCACAGATTACAGCTCATCGCCATGGCGATCAAGACAGGAGACAATGAAGGGAACCGCCTCCCCGAACATGAGGAGACTATACTATGATTGGTCAGTCCGCGGTCGAGAGGCGGGACTTAACAAAGGGACAGCTTAAGCTAATTCTGATTTTAATAAGTTCAACGTTTTTCGAATAAGAAATTGGCCAATGTGACACAACGAAAAGCTCTAGAACAGCTGCTCAATGAACCGTGTGTTGTTTTAAGTTTGAAAAAAATAACCCTCTTTATTTCTACGTAGTCCGCTGTTATTTTACACGGTAATTATCTCCATGTTGATTAAATGTAGTGAAATCGTGCATTCTGTCGTGGCTGCCATATCTCTTCTAACATGAGTCAAAGTATCATAACATATTGAAGACACTGGAGAGACGTCACTGTCTCAATAAACGCGAATAAGAAGCAGAATATTCATGTCTCTCTGTGGACGAGGTGGTTGTGGAGGCTTCTGCTGTGCGTCGTCACACAGAATGATGGTTCGTTTCGCCATGTTGGAGTACTGTTGTTTCGCTTCTCCTCTATTCTTCCTTTAACTCCCCGTGTATTTACCAGATTTGAACTTTTAGTTCCTCCTTTAAAGTCGGCTTCTGTTTTATTTCCATGATCATACCAGTGATTTGGGATAATTTACCCCTCAATTGCTTTAAAACACAATGTAATTATTCATTTGCAAAACCGTGTTGCTTTATTTTACATCACATTACATGTCATTTAGCTGACGTTTTCATCCAAAGCGACTTTTTAAAGGATTTGAATATATTTGGATGTATTTTACATTAATTCCAACACAGTGTGAAAACAAATCAATAACCTTTTTTTGTCATATTTAACTCAGACTCAACACAACACAGCCTTTGATTTCTTCGGCACCTTCTTTTGTCCGGAGCGCTTCTAAATAAGTCAATAAGTCAAAATTCAACCCTCGTTAAAATAAACTTCAACAAAATACGAGTCATTAAAAGCTGGAGGTGCATCCTTCCCACTCACACTATTAATATATGTTCAGTGCAAGTCTTCACATCAATCTCCATTTAAACCCCATTACCAACCGAATGTATAACAATGGCTGCCTGGCACATCAAATAAACAACCTCCCTTGTGTCCATACAACTTTGCCTAAAAATTAAAAATAAAACATCTTTGCATTAACGTTAAATCTGGAGTCCCCGGAGTTGAAAGGAATCTGCAGACATCCGTCCCGTCCCGTTTCCAACCCCCCCCCCCTCCTCTCATTGCCCATGCAAGGAGCATGTTATTTGAATTTTTAAGACGTGGCCGTTTCAGGCAATTTCATCAGACCTCTCCTGCGCTGAAGCACCGGGAGATAAAACTAGCCGGGGTGTGCGAGGGATGCGAGGTGACTGCTGGTATAGTCGTGTGAGCTCGTTGGCTAATGAAGTCTCTTGATATGTTTCTATTCCTGGACGAGGTGACGAGCCGAGTTGAAAACGTGCCTTTGAGTTTTCTGGGTAATTACAGGACGTGTATTTATGGTATTGTGTTTGCAGTGGAAACTTTGACGTATGTTTCCTGAGTTTCACTTGAGAGCTTGTACTTGGTAAAAGGTGCGATATTGGCTTCATTAGTTTGTCGTGATGCACATTAATTAAGGGGAGGAGAGCGTCTATTTTCAACTCGCCTCCGACGGGCGATAATGAGAAAGTTGGATTTAACTACGAAGAGTGAATTTGAAGTCCATCCGGAGAGAAGACGTAAATATTGTGACGTTTTCATCCGAAGCTGGAAATGTCAGCTCGGTGGCTCAATCAATGTCACTTTAAAGGTAAAGGAGGAGATCGGAGCTCCAGGCTGATCTAGAGTCAGTGTTTTGTTCTGTCTTCTCTGGACCGCAGGCGGAAACACGGCCGACTCATTCTCAGGTGACAAAAGCCACAACAAATCTCAAAAGTTTCAGGTTCCAGTGAGAATCTGCCGGCGAAGTCAGCCGGCGTCCCCCTGGTCTGCACGTTGGAAGCCTGCAGTTTGGCGTTTTTGGCCGTCGCCATCTTGACCTTTGACATTACTGTTTTACATTCAAACACTGCGCTGGTTCAGCGGAACCTTGAACCAGACACGCACATCAATTTTCTCCCTGATTACGGTGTTTTAAACACGTGATCAATGTAGTCGATGGAAACTAGAACCAGAAATACAGCTAAATGATCAGTTGTTCTAATTGTTCAGGATCAGGCAACACAACTCATGTATAATTGTTAGAAACACACGCCGCTGTGTTTGTTGGACTCCACGCGGTTACAAACTGCTGACGCGTCTAAAGCAAACGTAATTGAACAAAAGCTCCCAGAACACAAAGACTCAGCGATGTGTGTCGCCGTCCTCCGGAATTCAGCACACATTTTTGTGAAAAGTGACACACGCGCGCACACTCCAGTCCATTAAGATATGGTTTGATCCAGGATCTTTTATGAACGCCGATAAGAGCGTTTCGCTCCGTCGGGCTCTTGAAAAAAAGCCCCCAATGTGCCCACAGGCTTAAAAAAAAAACGGAAAAAAGAGCCACTTCTTGCATCCATCGGCACCTCCGGCTCCGCGACGCACGCCGCCAGATTACAGCACCAGCCTTTTCTCAGCTCTGTGCTAACACGGAATCAGGATTTCCATTTTAAGCCATCGAGCAACAGCATCTCATAATACGCCCATGCGCCTTTTTGTTTGCTCGTTGGTTGTTTCAATAAACGAAACCAAGTGAAAGGACACCAGCGGGCCGCGCAGCACGTGGCAGCAGCTGCAGGCTCCCGCCTAATTGCAGGGTCCGATTGCGTCGCACGGTTTGAACCCTCTCGGGCCCCGTTGGACCCGCCACGTCCAACGCCCGTAACTCGCGCTCCACGGCGCCCGTTCGGAGTATCGACAGCGGAATGCGATGCGACGGAACGAAGACGACTTCGATTTCATTCCCAGCGGCGAATGCGCGACTCCAATTGGCGATTGTTCTGGCTAAAAACAGGCTTCGTGGAGATTCGGCTGTGCATTTGGGATGAAGAGCCGTGGTGGGAACGGGCGGGTTTGATTCCTTGCGATGAACGAGTGTGTAATGAGCCCGCTGCCCTCACACAACCCCCTCCACGTCCCATCGGATGTCTCTCTTTGAAGCCTGTAGGAATATATACATGCATACACACCCCTACCGCTGTAATTATGTTTGCCTGCAACGTTCAGGGGGAACGAAGTACAAGGTTTAGTTGGAGTTTAGACGATGAGGAGTCCAAAGTTAAAGAAGCCTCTGACTCATCCGGGCCGCCTTCGAATGTTCCCACTCGGCTTCAGGACTTATTGCTCTCGGCTCATTTTCACTCACAATTTAATCAAACAACCTCAGCGACTCCATTTGTCAGTAAAAGTAAAACGAGAAGTACAATGCGCTGGGTGAGTGTCTGGACTTCAAAAAAGTGCCGAATCAGATGAAAACCTTTCTGTTGTTGTTGTTTTTTAGCAGCTCATTAAAAATGAGTTGACGAGGACGAATTGTGAATATTTTAGTTTCAGATTTGCTTCAACCCGGAGAGCATGTGGCTCCTGCGTGTGCGAGTCACGTCAAACTGAAGGGGGGGAACAATACGCCGAGTGGAGAAACAAAGCCTCCTGATTCCATACTGACAATAAACACCTAAAAGACAGAAACCAGGAGCCAGAGGAGCTCTTAAGAGGGGGGGGGCCCAAACCCCCACCGGCGGCTCTCTGTCTCCAATACCAAGTCAATTAACCTAATGGAAGTGGCAATTAATTAACTCAGCAAACACAGCGATTAAGGAGCTGCCAATCAACCGGGTGGCGTGGCTTACGGGTCATAACGATTTAGAGGTAACGACTTTCCGGCTTCTTATGAATGCAGTAAATTATTATTTTTAAAACAACCACGCACGCACGCGCAGAGACGTGACTCCTGCAAACTGCCCACAAAGTTTTCAAAATCACAGCACTTTGCGTCGTCCGGCGGGGGGGGGGGGGGGGGGGCTCACCGTGTTCCTCTGTCCGCTGGCCCCTATCGGTCCTCTGAACACCCCCTTGATGCTGCGCAGCTGCCCGTCACGCAGGTGCGTGGAGCTGATCACGATGTAGTAGCACGCCATCGCGTGGACTCAAACGTCCGTCTGGACTCTTGAGGGGAAAAAAAGAGAGAAATAAAAAGTCAGCTCCCTTCTTCTTCTGCTTCTTCTGCTTCTTCTTCTGCTTCTTCTGCTGCTTCCTCTGCTGCTTCTGCTGCTGCTTCTGCTGCTGCTTCTGCTGCTTCTTCTCGCTCAGCCGTCTGCGGCTCTCCTCTCGTCCTCTCGCCCTCTCCTGCTCTGCTTTTATGAAGTAGAGGAGTATAGAAAAGGAGGAGTGACCCCCCCCCCCCCCTCCCTCTCTTGTGGAAGTTTTTCACTCTTCCTTCTCCCCCCTCAGCTCTCTTGTTACATCTCTCCCCCTCTCCCCCTCCTTTCGTTCCGCTCTCATCTTCTTCTCGTTGTTCTAACTGTTTAAAAGAAGACAATAAAACATTTCCTCCCGTTTTAAATATTTCTCCCTTTGAGTAATTTCCCCCTCCAGATGTTTTGCTCCCATCTTTCATTCATCAATCTTTCCTCGTCATTGACTCCCTCCCTCCCTCCTCCCTCTCTGTCTCTTTCTTGCTGAGTCGAAATTTCTCGCAGAAATCGGCGCCTCTCATTGATCAGCATCGCAGTTCCTCCCAACTCTCTCCCGTCCTCCGCCTCGCTCTCCTCCCCCCCCCCCCTCGCTCCCCCCGTTGTCCCCGTGTCTCTCTAAGTGGAAGGGAGACGGATTTACTTTTTATTCCTGCCTTCTCGTCTTTGTTCCTCGCCTCCTCCTCCTCCTCCTCCCCTGGTTAGTGAGGAGGAGCAGCAGAAGTGCTCTCCTCCCCTGCGCTCGCGCAGCCTCCCCGCCTCAGATGGTCCTCTCCTCTCCTGCGCCGCATCTCCTGCCTCCCTCCCCCCCCCCCTCCTGCCTCCCCCCTCTCTGCTGATCTCTTGCTCCGCGGCCAGCAGAGTGCTTTGCTCCTCAGTTACCCGCGGTTACCATCTGCCCTTTTAACGCATGAGAGTGCTGACGCTTGCTCCCCCCCCCGCCCCCCCTCTCCCCTCCTCCCCCTCCATCCCTCTCTCTCCCTCCGTCCATCTCTCTCTCTCTCTCTCTGCCTCTTGCTGTCTTTCTTCTCTCTTTAATCATCTCCCCTCGCTCCCTTCCCCTCGCTCCCTTGCTTCCCTTCGAAGGAGACATGCGCCACCTACTGGTGAGCAGAGGGACCCCGACAACCCCCATGTTGCTTCATCGGGTCTTCAGGTGGAAACACGGAGCTGGTGGTGATTTAGTGTTTTGCTCAAGGGCACTTCGGTTGTGTGGGTTTAAATCTGGTTCTCCTGCCGTCATGATGGTCCGACACTAAGCAGATGCATCAAATACATCAACTAGAGGCCCCGTCTACGCTTTAACAGTTGATTTAGTGACCATGATTTGATTATTTCATCTCTTTTATTGGCGGTTTTATTTTACCACAACGCAACCTGATGCTGTTTTCTTCACTACAAAGTGTAATAAACCAGATGCGACTATATTATATACTGGGACCATAACAGCGTCTGTGAGTTCAAACACGAACCTGCCAGTGAGCCAAAACACTCATTTTGAAATTGTTTTTTTTTAATATATATTTCACCCTCAGAGTGGTTTCATTGGCTGATTGAGGTGCGAGGAGATGTAGGAGCTTCTGTCGTTTTTATGTCTCAGTGTTTAGCAGATCTAAGAGGCCTCCAGAGATGCGAAGCAACATGCGACGCTTTTATAAACTAATAAAAGAATCATTCCTCCGCGGGAGGCCAGCGAGTAGAACGCAGACAGCGCGTCGGCTCGGTGGAGGCAAAGCGATGACACACAGAGCGAATCAAAAAATATACAGATGGAAAGAAATGTAGTCTCCAGATCCCTCAGCTGGAGAGGACATTTGGGGTAAGTCGAGTATTCCAGATGGTTTACTTTTCAGCTCAAAAGATAAATGCTTTGTGTGAGTATTTATTTCATTGCACTGCAGCTTTTTGTCGCAAACTCCTCAAAGAAGAGGAGGGTGGTCTTTTGTTCTTTTTCATCCCTTTTTTTTTAGCTCAGTGCACATCTGATATTCTCTTGTCTCCCTCTTATCAATCCAGACTCTGCGCGTAATCCGGTTTGGTCATTACATTATATATATATATATATTTCTCTTCTGCAGCTCTCTGACTTAATCAGAACAACCGTTATTGTTGCATAACTGGATTAAACTTTCCCCCACAGAAAAGTTTGGATGTCTGAATGTTAAAATACTTCCAGTGTATCTTCGATGTGTTTTTTCAGGCATGGAGGTCTTTTCTCTTTCCCTAAATTCTCCACTAAGCAACACAGATTAATAATGGATTTGTGCCTTGTATAGAATTTATTAAAGCACCTCGTGTGCTCGTTTCGCTTTAATAAAAAATGAGGCTCCATCTAATTGGCTACTCAAAATTCAGAACAAGCAAAACAAAAGATTTAGATTTTTATTGTGCATAACCACTGGAAATAAAGCCTTCACACCCACAGGGCTCCTCGGAAATGATGAACTTGTGCTGCGTTGTGAAGGATTAAATATCTACGGATGGCCACGTCAATATAACAAACCGCTCATGCTGCTGAGCGTAGCTTAGCGTAGCGTATTACTTACTAGCCAGCTGACGAAATATTCATCCTCACGTTGCCATTTGTCTCTTCTTTTCTTGCAACTCGTGTCAATTCCCGCTTGATTCTTGTTTACAGTCTGAATGAATGAATGCTGGATGAATAATATTAATGTTTATTGCTCTACACTCAGTTAAGGGGTTGATGCTGCGATGGCTCGGTAATTGAGTGATTGTCCTCGTGTACATATCATCAATCATCCCATTCACAGATTCACAGGCTGAAGCTCGCAGTGTGGACTATGTGTACTCCCTTTATTCTCTTTGTACAGGTCGACGGACAACAAAGGTAATAGAAGTGAAATCTTGACGTGCACGTGCACCCCTGGTGGGTTGCACGTTTCTGCCGGATGCCGTTAAGTTAAAGTGGACCCGACGACCTTTCGCTAGAAGGTCAAACCTGCAGCGCTTCGCTGCACAAACACACTTTTTGTTAAAGTGCACCGGCCGTTGATTGTAGGTTCATCTTCCCCACTATTATATCATCGGACCCGTGGTGGATCCCAGCAGAAACGCGTCACGCCTCCATTCTGAAATCTCCATCTCAAGCCCTCGCTGCATGTGAGCGGAAGGTGTTACACTGAGATTTCATTCAGAAAGGAACCAAGCGAACCCGCTGAATCCCTCCGAACGACTGCGTCCGCGTTGGCTTTTAGGAGGAATTTCCTCAACAGGAAATTGTCAAAAGTTCCCCCAGAGCATCGCTCTGGTTTAGTGGCCGAATATTGTTGTTGAGCTTAGAGAAAATAAAGTACACAGTAAGAGGCTTATCTGATGAATTTCCTTCTGCTTTGGGTCCCGTGATCCAGCACTGTAATAAGCTTAAAACCCTCCCATCGGCCCCACTAGATTAATTTTACAAAAATACAAATCTAATTTTATACTCCCTGGTCCATACTTCCAGTGTATTTACGCATACGCTCTATATACATCAGTGTATTTTTATTTGTTCTAAAATAAAACACAAGGATGGAATACCAGGAAAAATATACACGTACAGTTTGGAGTAGTACCCCACTGTGTACTCATGCTTTAAATCATTTATGTTTGAATATATTCAATGCAAGAGCAATGTAATGTTTTAATTCCTGTGTTTATAGGGAGGGTGAAGATAAGAGGAAAATATGCGAAGAGTTAACTGTATTAATATGCATTTAATAATATATCACATCCAAATTAATGCTAATGTTCCGCGTCTACACGTTTATGTGGAGGGAAAAGCCATGTTTTATTGCAGCGTCTTGGTGAGCAGATGTACCAAACAGAGGTGGAGGACTTTTTGGAAGTGTAGCCACAGATGGGTTACAAATTATCAGCAGACACAGACCAAAACATTGTATTCAAAGAGCTGCTTTCAAAGAGCAACTTTCTGTTAATCAGCCTCCATAACGTCTCCTTTCAGACTCGAGGTAAGAAAGCATCCAAAAAATGTACGTTTGGGTTTTCATTTTAATACTTTGTTTATTCGCTTTCCGTCCATTTCTCCTAAATTCACCAAATGTTATCCTTCGTTTGTACATTCAAATATAACATCTTAGAGAAAGGAATTGTCTAAATGCAATTATAAACTAGGACATCTTTAAAGGATTCTTATCAGGCTGAGACAGAAATCTCCACTTCATCACTAATCAAACATCCCACTGTCCTTCCTCTCTCCATATTCTGAAGGTTTTCACAGAGGGGTTGGTTCAGATATCCTTCAGAAACCTGAATTATACAACATTTTACCATTCAAATGGATTCCTAAAATTGATTCGCTGACGGTATGTTCAGATTTATTGGCTTGTATCAAAAAACTGGAGCTCAAATCTATCAAAACGAATCAAGAAGTTTTAACAAATGAGGTACACACAGAATAACAGGAAGCGACACGCATGCAGAAAGGTGCACTGTGAAACCAACACTCTGTCCTTACACAACACTCATGTATGATTCAGATGTGATAATGTGCACTTTTCTAAATGCAGATGGCGTGCACGCAGCCATGCCTGCCGTGCAGGCGGACAGAAGCAAAGCATTTGTATTATTATTATTATCCCCCGTGGTTTCGCTTCTGCAGTTCGTCAAATCTAATCAAAGCCAACAGGCGGGATAATGCCGCGCCGCTTTAGGGGAATTTATTCAACATCCTGTGTGTAACCCACCTCTCGCTGTCTGTTAACATTCTCACACGGAGACCGTCCTCGGAGCGAGACGGCGGTCGGGCCCCTCGGGACCCCCGCAGATGGGACAGCTTGTGCCGTGCCGCGCGGGCCATCTCATCCAGACGGGGGGAAATGTCACAAAAATGTCAAGGGAAACCCGGTTTGGCTTCCGTCGCGGATGCTCCCCCCCCGGGCGATGCGCCGATGGACGGCTCCAACGGAGAAAAGGGCCACGACTGCGGCCTGCACGCCGGCACCGCCGCCATTAGTTACCCGCTGGTTCAGCATACTACAGGCAGGGTTGTGTGTTGGGTCGGCCAGCAGCGTGCATGTACTTGGGGGGGTATTTAGTTATTAACAGTGACAGACCTGCTCCGTCTGAAGGCACCGTAAATAATCTACGACCTTTTACGGGGTGGGTATTGCACCCAAATGGGGCGACTCTCGTCCGAGTGTTTGGCTCAGAACCAGCCCCCCCCCCCCCCTCTCTCCCGTCCCTCCCTCCCCCTCCCCCCGAGCACAGAGCGGCTGCCACAAACGGCCCAGCTGCATTATTTTAAAACAAGCGGGACACAATGCAGCACAAATGCCTCTTTTGAAGAGCTCCTACATGGTGATGCAGTAATGATAATGCTTGTTGTCCTTTGTTTGGCCCAAATAGCGGTGTCCCAAATCCATACTGCGTAGCAATCTCAACCCTGTGCATTAGAACCATAATGGTATCAAAAAAACAGTCTGTATAATTTATAACTTTACATTTTAATACAACTAGAAAATGGTAAATGGAACTTGAGCATATTTTGATTTAAGGTTTAGTGATCATTTGAAAGGGTGAATTTTACATACAAGCTCAGGCTGGTGGGATTTATTAGATTTTGCTGAAGTAAATTCATAATTTGACCTGATAAACGGCAGCCGAGTTATTAAGATTCATCCTCTGGGAAAGACTTTAATAGCCATCCATCCGATAGGTAAAACATTTCTGTATATTGTGAAGCCTCGAGTTCGCCATCTTGTTTCTCCGTTAACCAGAAGTGAAGTGAGAGGAAGTGGTACAACCAAAATGTTTCCATTAACGTCCATGAACTGAAACCCCCACTGTGAACAGGTTGAGGCTCATTAATAACCGGACACGCCGTGGTAGCAACCTGTCAATCAGCGTGTAGCCCCGCCCTAAGGCATTACCTGTTTATGGTCTATTTGGCTCGACGTGGACCATAATTTACTAAAACATCATGCTGTTCATTTAGTAACTTATGGTCCATGTAGGTCCATGTGAATACATGGACCTTCTACACAGAGAAGTAGTCATTTTCTCATTGACTTCTATGAAATCAGACTTTTCGCCCCCTGCTGGCCAGCAGAGAGAACGCAGGTTGGAGACGCCGCAGCATCGGAGGTCTCACACGCAAGAGCTTCACGGTGACGCCAAAAATAAAGACGATTCAAATCCATGATTCAGTTCTGACCAAACCGACTTCGTGCAGTTTCTCAACCTTTTTCTAATTCACACCTTCAGCCACAAAACAGACTTTTCAAAACCAGACAACTCCGAGCAGCTGGTGAGGTGATCACACCTTTAACATTAATATTCAGAACTGTAGTTAGATGATGGTCATTTTGAGCTGCGGGGCAGTGAACTAATTCCATTTCACTGTAACAATGCACATTTTCTCATGCATTTAGGTCCCATTTCCAACACGGCTAAGGGTGCGCAACATTCTTCTTCCATGGAGTAGACCGTTAACTCCAGCACCCGGGACATTTATGAGGCTAATAACAATCAGCAGAGGCTCTCAGCTGGGCGAACAACAAACACACACATCTGCCCTGTGGACTTATTTCCATTTAAACAGTGAGGACGAGCCAACGATACCTTTGTGTGCCGCGAGTTCGCAGCGTTAGGAGGGCGTCCCAGCGGTTGGTGTTGATTAGCGTGCGAGCCAAATGTGTCCTCCCCCCATTATCTAACGAGGTAATTACCAGCTAATTATTTCAAGGGAGCGAGCGTCAACTCTGTGAAGTTGTGAAAGTGACAGAGACAACGCAGCAGTGAGCGGTGATGTCATCGAGGGCGGATCTGCTCATGTGCTAGAGAAAGAAATCAAGGTGTAAACGGAGGAAAAGGTTGTACGTATGTAATTAGAACGCAATCCATAACACAAAAGAAAACAAGTGCCTCCGAAATGAGCAAATGTAATAGGAAATCTATTTTTGTTACTGTACTGAATTAAAGGCAGACACAGTTTTTCCCAGAGACACACTCAACACATGGGTACCAACTTGAGTTTTTTTGCTGATATGTTATCACATTATTTCTGTCTTTCGAAACAACATTCAGTGAGACATTTTTTACAATGCAAAGAGAAAACAGGACAAATCTTTTAAGGCTTAAAGAGCATTTGTCTGGTTCCTTTCAGCTGCACTGATGAAGCTCCTTCTGTACAATCAACTGTAACCCGACTAATAATCATCATGTCGTATCAAGGCGGGTTAAAAAAAAATAATAATGACGAACGCAACTTCACGGTTCGTAGCCCCGCAGCTGCTGGTGGAAGCCGGGGTTCGGGCGAATCGAGGGCCGGGCCGCCTTCGCCTGACCGTAGGCCTCGTCAAACGTGAGCCCCTCCCTCATCATCAGGTAGCCAATCACGATGGAGGTGGAGCGCGACACGCCGGCGTTGCAGTGGACCAGGACCACACCGCCCTGTGGATGGAGAAAGTGACTTCATATATATATATTTCTATAAATCCACAGTACAACAGAGGCAAAAGGAAGTCTGCATTTAAAGTGTGACATTTAAATATCCATCTCTGCAGAGTCACTGTTCAAATAACGTGTTCAAATAAACGGGCGCACGGTGGACCGCGTCCACACAACATCACATTGAGAAGAAATGTCGGCTCGACGAGTCGTTTCACGGCGCGTTTCCTCGGTGGACATCCGTGATTTGGGACTTTCCAAACGCCCCAGCAAGCAGCGTTAGTCTGTGGAGCGAATCTGCCTCTGTGGTTTTCCGCGTGTCAAACATTTTGCGTTGTCATTAATATTAATGTTGATGTAATTATTTTACCGCCTAAAGTGCCGGTCTGGAAATGATTATTTTTAAATTGCAGGGCCACATCTTGAGACAATGCGAGCGGGACGCGCGGCATATTGACGCATTTGTCTCCTTTATTCAGCTATAAAAGTCTCTCTTCTCTCTTTTTTTTAACATTTTTTTTTATTTTGCATGTCAATTAATACCCACCGAGGGACGGGATGTTTAAATTAGCCGTGGCCTCACACGCGTGTCCGCTGTTGTAATTGACGTGTTATCACTGTTATCACTCTGCTTTCATTTGGAAATGTGAGCCAATCGCGCGGCTCCGCCGGGTGAAATGCGTTCAAATGAAGCAGGACACACAGGGAGGAAGAATGCCACCGGCCTCTAATAAGTTCCTATCAATCAAAAGAGGGTCGCCGCTGTATATTATCTAGTGTCTGCCGCCACATATCAGCTCTTGTTTTTCGACAACACGAAACTTCTGGGGTACAAACTGAAAGTTGCCCGAGCGAGACAATCCATCACGGCGAACACGGCGACTTAATTTGGTTTTGGTCGGAGCTTCTTGTTTTTCTGCTGTTTCATTGCGCTCAAATTGAGTGTTTTCATATCGGCGCTCACATCACATTATGTTGTGCTTACGGTCAATCTCCAGACACACACACACAGAGGAAATAACGCTCTGCCTGGAAATAATCCCTTAAAAAGTATTACACGCAGCACATGAAAGGACTGAGGTGAGGTGGGGGGGGGGGGTAAACGTTGACTTTGTACATTAAATGACCCCAGCGTGGACTGTTATTAGGTATTCCGACCACCCGCCTGTCCTTTGTGCTGAGTTCCAGATAACTGGCTGCTGCCACGTATGTAAATGCGTCTCAGCGAGGAGGCAGAATAGCTGCGTGTGCACGCTGACACGTTAAATTAGCCGGCTGATATAAAAAGACGGATTCTTTTTGGCCACGTGAGGCCTTCCGAGCGAAGACGTGTTTTCAAAAGGGATTTAAGGCAGATTTCTTCATCTAGTAATACGGTTGCAGCCTGTCTGTGTATCTGCCAGTGGTAGAAGATGCATCCTCGATGCATTCACTCAAGTCAAAAGTGTCTTCCTCAAATATCACCACACACATTACGCGCGTGCACCTTTTCTCGGGCCCGGTCCACGAAGGAGCTGCACTCCCCCAGGTACGCGGTGATGTCCGTGTCCGGCAGGTCCAGGATCGGGAGCGCCTTGTAGACGTACTGATCTGGGAACAGGTTGGCGACTCCGTACGCCACATTTAACACATGAGACACCTGACAAAAAGGGAGAGACAGACATCTCACTTGTTGAGCTTAGGATGTGGCAACCTGGATGTTGACTGAGCGAGAGGGCAGGACGGCCGGGCGAGGCGGGGGGTTGACGCAGAGAGATGGAGGAGGGCGAGAGAGAAGACAGATGGCTCCAATTGCTTCTGCAGTATCTGTCTTCTCTCACTTAAATTAGCTTACCTCCCGAGGACTCGCGTCACTCCTCCTCTACAGCTGCTTTAGGACCGCTTTAGGACTCTAAATGGGCCGTAATTCACTTAATGAGCATCACGCTGTATTACAGAAGACCCGAAACAAGACGCCGAGACCATGAACTCGTGTTTACAATGTTTACTGGAGGAATAAATCAAGAAAGAAGTCAAGAGTCGTTTTCTCGTACAATTCTATGGGACCAAAGGAGTCGCCCCCTGCTGGTCAGCACGGAGAACGTACTTACATTCCACATTTATTTGAGTCGACTTTGATTTGTTAAGTTTGTGAAGAAATGGATCAAAGTGAATGTCTATTAAAATGCTCATTACAGATCTCTTGTAAATCCTCCTTCACAAGCAGTCCGGTGTTCATACGCAGAAGCAGGAGGCAAAGACATTTGTAACCCCCCCCTCCCCTCGGCCACTGCAGAGAGGAGAAGTCACATTCCTCTGTCCTGTAATCATTTACTCCCTCTGCTGAGCTAAACCGTCATTGCACCGAGCCGCGCCCCCCCCCTCTGGCCACCGGTACGTTCCCGTGTCACGGCGAGGGCCCCCCCCCCACCCCGCCACCCTGCGCCGATCGATCGCCCCGCTCTGACCTTATGTCTCTGCAGGGTGTCGGCGTCGTGGGCTGCATCCTGAGAGGCTGAAATGAGAAAGAGGCTGGATGAGAGCGGCCCCGCCTGCGCTCGTCTATTAAGAAAGAAATAAATGGAAATGCTTACTGCGTGCTGACAATAATTGCTCAGTTAAAAAATGATCAAATGCCGCATGAATATTTATCCGCGTCTCCGTTTGACACGAGAGAAACAAAATGTTCCGCTTAACTCGTCTGTGCGGTGCGATCAGGGCGATGGAGACGATGCAGCTGGTCTTTGTTTGAACTGGAAACGTTGACACGTCTTTTAAGTCGTTTATTAAAATGACGTGCTTCTAAAATGAGACGTATTTCTTTTGCTTCGTTTTCAAGGCTCAGCATCGGGGGGCATTTCATCTTTATCCCCGAAGATTTGTCTGGTTTTAAAGGCCTTTTTCTGTATTTTCTGACATTTTTGGGACAATTTAGCATCAAAAATATAATCAAAAGATGAAATAGCAAGTGTCTTATATACATTTTGATTTTGATGGATAATTTAAAGGGTCTAAAGGAAGCCTTGAAACCTCACATGAATCCAGAGCTTTTAAAAACAGTCCACTTCGGGGTGTGATATTCAGCATCGTATCACTGAGCACCACGGCAGAAAACAGCGGGGGGTATCAGCCATTAGAAAAGCTTACAGCTACAGAAATAAAAATGACGAGCGTATCATTTGTCGAGTCGCGCTCGGCTTAAAAAAGCTGCTGAAATAAACATCCGACGCAATCTACAGCCGCAGAGGAGGACGCTTAAGACCTTCGGGAAGAGAGGGACCGATGGAGCAAGGCAAAGACGCCCTGGACGTGATCATCGGAGGAGACGGTTGGTAGGGGAGGAACAGTCTCGTTGAGAGACGAATCTTAAATCCAAAAGATAAGAAATAAAGAAAAAAGAAAATGCCTCGTCAGTGGAGAAAGGAACCGATTTAAACTGACACATCTGTGAAAAGAGGCAGCAATGCCAGGATTTCTGCAGCATTTCTGATATAAAAGTGTAACAGAACTTTGTCACATTTGTCCATGTCCAACAAATAAATATAAAACTGAAGACAAATCAAATATTATGATATTTTCAATTTTCAAATGAGGTATTAAATGTTCTTTTCTGGGTTCTGTTGCTATGATTCTTAGTGTGCTATCCTCATAGAACCAAAACACTTAAGGTCAAAGTGAAGTCACAGAGCTTATTTGCTTTCTCTCCCAGAGGGAAGATGGGAAGATGAAGCTACACCCGGATTAGCGTAGCTTAGCACAAAGACTGGAATCAGGTAGAAGCAGTTAGCCGGCGCCAGCCAACAAATACTGCAAATACTGCTCTCTGTGAAATCTACGCATTGGATTTCTTACAGGATGGATTGTGTTCTGTTGTCTTTAAGCCAGGCTCAGCCAACTGTTAATCGGTTTCATATTTAACAAGACATATCGATATCGCACCTGCAATCCATCCTCACGCAGACGTTTGTTTAATATCTACCCATTTATTAGGTCTAGGAAAAGATTGCAGAATACATGCGTATATATATTTCATTATTAGTCTCACAATGGGGGAAACACATATGTGTGTGTGCTGACGAAGAGGAGTTTTAACACCAGAGAAGACCGGTCAGCCAGGTGTCCGATCCGGTCAGGCAGCGTGGTGGAGACGCGGACAGTTTGACCCCCTTCACAGGACAGAGCCACCTCTGTGCAGCCCTACAGGTGTCACACTTCATCGCCCCCCCCCCCCCACCCCCCATGAGGTGCGAGGCGGGACCACAATGTCAGGCCCAAGGACACTTGAGCAGGACGGACGCGTGCTGACAGGTGCGGTTTGCCGGCCCGCGTCCCGTCGGCTGAAAGGTCACCGCGCTCCCCGAGGTCACGGTTAACGTCATTGATTTAATCCTGATGAGGATTTCATTTATTTATGAGAGCGGACTGGAATGCTGAAGTGACTGAGACACTATGAAGGTGTTGTAGTGGTTGTAGGGAGGTGTTTCAATAATATATAATATATATGCTAATAGCAGTGGTGCTGTGGACAAGGGTGGAAAGGGACTGACCACATCTGCTGTCAAATAAAATCAATACATCGGAACAGGTGGAACAGGAATATATTACTTTTAATATAATTACTGCAACTATGTGTTTTATATCTACTTGCAGTTTTAAATGGATCTAAAATTTGTTATGAAGCTTCAACCATCGTTTTGTACTTTGATTTGAGTTTACTTTTGTGGATTTGGGCTGTTTTTTAAAACAACTCTATACTATACTCTGTAAACTTTAAAAGGGTGCTTTGGACTGAAATATTATTTAAGCAAGATTACATTATTCCAGCACTCTTTCTAACTAAGAAATTGAAATAGCAACATTATTTTGTTTTATTCTTTTGATTTTGGAGTTTTGTTTGATTTTTTATACTGTATTTTTTAAACGTATTTCACATTCCAGTTCTAATGTCTGAATGTACATACTAAATATACCTATGTAACTATACTTTAGTATTTTCATTATATCTGTGGCATCAAATTGTATTAAGCAGGGTGAATACATGTTAACACCTTGTAGTAGTAGTAGTAGTAGTAGTAGTAATACCCAGCAGTAGGAAGGGTCTGACGACGCCAACTTGAAGGTCCAGACTTTTATCTTCAACAAACCCACATCCGCCGTCCTCCTCCAGCTCCTCGACCTGCTCCTCTCCCTCTCCTCCATCACCCCTCCTCTCCAGCAGCCTCCTGCCGGTCACCGTGGTAACGAGGGTGCACTTCTTCTTCAGGCGGTCTTTGGAGAAGCTTTGGATCTCCTGAGACAGTGAATGCATCACACCAGGAGTTCAAGGGACCGAGCTGAAAACCCCCGCCGAGGAGGTGTAGACAGAGCAAGAGGGTTTATTTACATCCAGTAATGTAGAGGTAAAACAATGGTGGGATATCATTTAGTGGAATAATACTTTTTTATAGATAATAGTACCATTTAACGAGGTGTTAAAGGCTCAACAAAAGTGTGTAACGTCATGTACCGTTTGTCTGATTCTGAACCGGATCACGGTGCTTTTTTCCTTTTAGTTTTCCTGCCTCGTCCACCCACCTGGTCTAGATGCACTGACTTCTAACGAAGTCCTGCAGAACGTTGTATCCGCGCTCACTGCGGCTGCAGCGCTACAGTAGAAATCACGCAGCGACAAACTGACCCTGGAGACGGAAGCTGCGTCAACGATGTGATGCGTTCAGGTTCACAGAAAACATGAGGAAAACGGCTGCTTGGTGGAACTGTGCGGGGCTGATAATGCTGCTTCTTTGGAATGGTACTTTTTAGCGCGTCCGTGATAACTGCAAATGCAGATATCATTGATTGAAAACACAGCCCGAGAAACCAGCTAGATGTTGTTCTCATTCGTGGCTGTACCGTAATATTATAGTACTTTTATTGTAATCTGGTCACTATCGTTATAATTCAAATATTACTAAAGTATAGTTCCAGCTCCTATAAATCCTGTCAGTATATTACAAGGAAATGCAATCTTTAAGTATATTTTTAAGGTAGTTGTGTATTTTCATTTTAGGCGTCTCTCTACTAATTCTACATAATTATCTGAGTATATAAACTAATAAAAAGTACCAACATTATAATATGGAAATTAAATATATAGTATCGATCCACCCCTATTTTAGTGTATTATATTTTGATATCCATTAGTTCACATTAGTGGAAAAGTCTTATATACACACTATGTATATCAGTGTACAGACTCACAAGCGAAAGAAGAATTTGATTATACGTTTTAACAAGTGAAAATGAATATTGTAATTTAAGTATTAATACGTAAGCAGAATTTTAATAGGGGAGCCGTTTCCAGTGGAGCAACTTTCAGACCGCCTGAGCTTTACGATTAACGAGCACCCCTGAACGCACCGAGAGCCAGCCTCGAAAAACCAGGACAACTCCTCTTCATCCCTGTGACCGAAAAAAAAGAAAAACACACACAGAGGCAGGGAGACGGTGGGGTGGAGTACAGGAAGCTGCTGTCCCCAAACATCTGAACATGGGAGAAATCTAAAATCGGCATAAACCACACGGCTTCCTTCTTTATTCCCAGTACGAACCACGGGCTGCGGGAGATTTGTGACATTTTCCCTTTTTTCTCCTGACTGGATTCCCTTTGGAAGATTAAACCGATAAAGCGAAAAGATGTCGAGGGGAGTGATCCAGCCCAGCCAGCAGAAGCTGGCGGAAAAGCTAACCATCCTCAACGACCGAGGCATCGGGATGTTGACCCGTGTTTACAATATCAAAAAGGTTCGCACACACACACATATGTACACGCAGTTAAGCTCCCATTGAGCGGATGGATTCGCTATATGAACTGTAGTCAAAGCGAGTGTCATATTAACGTTGGGAGACCGTGTGAATGCTTGATTAGCTAGCACTTACCATCACTCTACGGTAAATGATAGCCGGTTTATTGTAGCACTGCTATTTTGTATACCAGCCATTGCTTAAATGTCGTGTTTAAACCGGTTAATGCGCGGAGACGTTCACTTTCGTTATCCCGAACCGGTCCCTTTAGCGTCCCTGGGAGCGAGCAGTGCTAGCCACAAGCTGTCGCGTTAGCTTGCGGTAAAGTGGGCCGTGTGTTTTACGATTTAAAATCCACATTTTTTTACTCGTAATGAAGACACGTGTGTGCTTACTATGAACAGTATATTCGATTCTAATCGAATAAACTAACGCGGGTACCGTGAAATAAAAAAAAATAAAAAATAAAAAACAGGCCCGCAGAAGCGTTAAAAGCTAGCTAGCATCGGCCGGTAATGGCGTCGGCTGCTAGCTAAGCTAGCAAACGGGCGTCGTCTCTGCTCCACTAAAAAGCCCGAAGCACGAAGCGCCACCCAAACGCAGCTGCGGTCTGATGCCAACAGGTATCCGCGCCATCGACAGCAGCCAGGTCGCCACGCAGGGCTACCGTTTATCCAACGTGGAGGGATTCTTCCAGAAAACGAAGCTAAAGTGACAACCAACGGCTGCTTTAAGCCCGTTAATGTCTTTTATTAGATTAACAAACGATTAACACATCAATTAATATACTGGTTAAACGTATCAATTCACATACAAGTGGCAAAACGTTGACTGAAAATGCTTCAGTCCACCCCCGTCAAAATATATCCTTTGTGTCCCAGGTTTATTTCTATGTAGGTCAATGCATTATGGACGTCTCAGTTTACGCTAATTGACAGAGGAACTACTTGTTTCAGCCCAACTATATAAAAGGTTTTATTGTGAGTCCCTCAGGGACGTAAACACGACTGCTTCAGCACACATGGACACAGCACACCGGACAGAGTGGTATTACAGGATAACGTGTCTATTAATGTTACAATTGTGTTGCTCAAGTACACCACCAATGGTTTGTGTGTGTGTGGGACGAGACTTTTGTTTCTGTGCACGTGTGATAAATAAAGAAAGACGTTATATCCTAACAAAGTTAAACTCTCTGGGAGCCCATTCGCTATTGCTATTTATTGCCATTAGTTTGCTAATACTGCAGAGTATTTCTTTTTGGAGTACCATGAATTATCCTGCTGGGGTATTATCAGATATTTGCTAATGAAAAGCGCTATAATAGTAGAATGTAAACTTTTCCCTTGTATTCTCTGTGCTGGTTCTAAGTTATGTGACCGTATGAGCAGCCAGACTCAATAAGACATTTTGCTGCTGATTACTCTTCTTAGTGCGCCCTTCCTTTCCTCGCTCCTCCCTTCCTTTTTCTTTCGGTCTGTCCCCTCATCTTCATATCTCTCCTGATCTGCCTCACCATTAGGCTTCTGAATACTTCCACCCTTAAGTGCGTTTCATGCGTTCTTCGTTCCTTAGTTGACCTTGTGATACGAGCAAACTCTCCAACATCCAATATCGACTTTATCCCAAAGCTAGAGATGAAAGAACCGAGACCGTAATCTGTGGTAAAATAAATGGGCTCATTCTGGGACCCTCGCTAGCAATTTGGAGAGAGGTTTAATCTTTGTGTTACTAAAGTTCCCTGACAGAAATTCCCTGCTGAAGAAGTGCTCACAATGTGCCGCTAATTTAACATCAGCTTCATTATGTTTTGTAAATGAAAACACAGGAGACAAAGCGGTTGTCTCGTTTCCACCTTTGGGAGAGAGTCATTCATGCTCACTAACGGTAATATTACCATCTAAGATCACAGCAATGTTCTTTTCCATTTTAAGCATATTCACTAATTACACACCATCGACTATCTGCAGAAGTAATTAATTGATCTTGGCTAAGTGTCATTCAAGTTTTTTTCTTTGCTGTGCTTCTCATTCAGCCAGTGGACCTTCTAACATCACATTTTGTCTTGCACACAGAACTTACAGGGTATTAAGTTTCCTTAATGTCACTCAGGAAATGTCCATAGTCTTCAAAGCCACTGCAGTTATTTAAAAAAAATATATAAAACTTCAGTAAATAAAATTTAAAAAAAACTGTCTCTGCTTGAGGAGTAAAGTGGAACATAGTGAAATATTCCAGCAACTGTTCTAATTGTCTAATTACCAGCAGTGCGATAAACAGTATCGGCTGTATCCACAGTGGATGCAACAAGATGAAGGCCTGTGAATTCTAATACAGTTTGGTGTTAACGCCAACAACGTTCTGCAACAGAAATCTTAAAATATATATATATATATTTATACTGAGGCAGAGTGAGAGGCTGGAGCTTTTTCTTGCGTCAGTTTACCTGAAACCTCCTGACAGTTCCTAAAACTTTTGATTATGCCCATTACAATCATATGTACATTGGTAAAATGCCAATCAGTTTATATAACAGATTTATTAGTGTTATATTGCCGCCCCCTCCACCCACTCTAGTTCAATCTCCACATTTCGCCTGTACATTTTTACGATACGACTAATGGTTTGTGTGAGATCAGGATGTTCTTCTGGCTGGTGCCAACAGTTTCTACTTCTTAGCGCTGCTCAGCAGCTGTTTTATCATCAACACAATCTGCATTCTTTTTATTTTTGTGGTTCTCAGAAAACAGTGGGAACCGTAGCGCGGCACTAAGCCTACCTATGGTGGCTCAGAGGGGCCAGAAGCGGCTGTAAACTGGGAAAAAAATAATAACAGGGTTAGCATTTGATGAATTCCTAATTACCAGGCCCATGTTTACCACACGTTTTTTTTTTTTTCAAGGGTATTTTGTGAGCTGTTAAGAGCAAATTGCCCGAGACCACCCGTCAATTTCTCATTAATCATAACGGCGTGGTTGGAAACCGCAGTACAATCAGTCCTGTTAGACTGTTGGCACATTTTAATATTTCTGTTTTGTTGTGGACAAACAACGTCAAATGCCGCGAGTTCGCACCAGGCGCTTAGTCCCTCCTTTCTGTTTGCCTTTGCTCTACCGGGGAAATCTCCCGTTTGCTTTGGAGGAAAACGTGCAGACTATTTTCCCTCTGCGTTACTGCACATCTGTGGTTCTCAGGGTAGCAGACATCTGGATGCTTGCTGAGGGAATCCCATCGCTCATGCACAGTGCAGGAATGCAATACCAGATGAAAAATAACCTCTAAAAAATAATAAATCTGTTGGTTAGACAAAGTCGACATTGACGTATGTCGCAAAAAAGGTTCAAATGAGTCGTCCAAATCCTTCAGAAAAATGTGTGTAGGTAAAGTACGATGAGCGTTGGTAACTCACCCATTTTTCTCTGGCTGTTTTTCCCCCTTAACTGTCCTCCTCTTTTTCTTCTACTTCCCAAGAAGAAACCAGACCAGTCAGCGATGTGTATTTACGCTTCACTAGAAGCCCTAAAAGTTAAAGTCCCGTTATCTGCTCCAAACACCTGCTGGGATTTAGCTGCTCCCCAAAGCAACAGAAGCTTGTCCTGTAACAAGAAGAAACGACGTTATGTCAACCAGAAAGTCCAATATCACTTCACTCGCATAACTATGTTTTTCCTAGGAAACCACGGGCCGGCTTTAATATCTCATCTCGCCTCGTGTTGGGGGGTCGTATTGGGCTTTGCTGCCAACATGTACTGCCCAACTGCAAGCCACGTTACCATGTGATGAGAATAAGGATGCAACAATACGTTCTGTTTTTGTCCCCTGATATCAATTTTATACCTAAACATTTCATTGGCATATCAAAACATTATTAAAGAGACTGCATTCTAATGACGATGGGT